CACGTCACTTGTCGCGTATCTGAATCTAGCTGGGTGCTGTCCGAACCCTGTCGTCGCGGTACGTGAGCGCCTTTCTAGCTCCGTTGTTTTTCGGCCCATCTTTAGGCCTGCTCCGCCCAGCACATCCGCACCCGCGTGGACAGTCGCCACTTTTCCCCTCTCCGTTTACATACTTTGCCCGCCCGCTCCTCGCACTTTCTCCTTCTTCCATTATTCTTCACAGTCGAAGTCGTTGCTAGACGTACCCCTCGAACTGTACCAATCAGCCTTCTGTTGTTGTGCTGACATCGCTATCTGTCAGCTACCCCACCCTCGCCCACACACACACTTCGCCACACCGCACGTTGCCTACCATCTGCTGCTTGGACCTCGCCATGCCTGCCGAACGTCGAACTTTCACCTCGGCCAGACCGGTCAAGACCGAGCGCACTCATGAAGAGAACCAGGAGCGGTTAGTCGTCTCTACTTAATCCGCATGCCACCAATTCTGATGCCCAACAGTGCCTACATTGCTGCCTCGCGCCGCAGTGACCGCAGCCTGGAGGCTCGCATTGAGTCTGCTCGTAGAGCTTCTGAGATTCACAAGAAGCGCACGGGTCGTGCTCTTCGCGTGACCGAGCAGGATGTTATCAATGAAGAGATGTACGAAGAGGAGGATGATGATCTGCCTACCCAGTACCAGCGCCTCAACGCTCATCTTCAGACCACTTCGGTCATGTTCAACAAGAAGCTGCATGACTACATTGCGACCCAGCACGGCGTCAGAAACATGTTCATGTCCCAGTACCAGAACCAAGGCGCGGCGTTCCAGCAGTATGGTCCGCAGTATCCGGCCAATGGCGCCCAATTTGCACAGCCGAACAACTGGCTGAACCCTTCAATGCTCCCGCCTCAGCAGTTCGCCCCCGCATCTCCACAGGGTTTCCAGCAAGCGCAATCCTTCAGCCCGACCACCGCTCAGCCGCAACAGGGATACAGACAGTCACCGTACCAGATTCCTCAACGCACTCACTCTCACCAGCGCGCTCTTTCTATTCAACTGCCCCAGGGCGCATCGCACTTTGACCCATCAGCTCAGCCGGCGAGTGCAGGTCTCACGACGCCACAGACTGAGCTCAACCGAAGACTGTCTTTACCGCCGCAAGCTTTTCAACAACAAAACCAGACAGTAGAGCGACAAACGCGTCCTTCTTTATCGCGTTCGCCTACTACCCATTCGCTCCAGCACCGTCAGTCATCTTCGCCACAGAGCGCTTCGCCCAACGCAGCTTCCGTGCATGAGGCTGCACCTGTGCAGAGTGATCCTAATTCGCCTTCCTCCTATTCTTACAGCCCTACGAACTACCCATACAGCTCGCAGGCGCTCAACACCAACCCTCTGACTCTGTCTATGCCACCCGAGTCACAGCAGTTCCTTGGATCTGTCCTGGATCAGAACGACCCACGCACCGCAATCTTCATGGCAGGCAGCGACAACCTTCCTCAGCCTTTTGCTCCGACCTACACCTACAACCCCAACAAGGTTGGTCGGACAGCTAACGCCAGTAGCATGTCTGAGCATGCTAGTGGCTCGGCTCAAACATTGTCATCTGGTCTAAACTTGAAGGCTGAGCCTGTTTCTGGTACCACGTCGCCGTCGGTACCCAGTGCCATTTCTGATGGCTTTTATTCCAACGATTCGTTTTTGACGCCTGGTACTGGTGAATACAGTGCCTTTTTCGATTTCCCGGGCGGCGACTTCCAACAGTCGTTTGACGACCAATCCGCCAATGACCACGACAATGGTAATAGCCTCGTCAACTGGGATTAGGTATCATGTTCGCCATTTTTATCTTGTTTTTTCGTCTTTGTGGACTAAGGTCCTTTGTACGATCCTTTTAGGATCCTGTCCGTCTAAGCTCTTCGATACTTTGCTACGTCTTTGGGTAACGGTTCTGGTTTCACACGCACATGATACCTTTTGTACAGTGTCGTTTACGAGGTTACGACTGAAGGCGTTGCAAGGAGTCTTCCTGTCGGTGAAGAGAAGACCCACATATAGGATGCAACCATCCTTCTTCAGGCGCTTGAGGGTGCTGTTGCCCCTATAGCGATCTCCTCTCCCAGTAATCCTTCGATTTGAAGTATTCCTGTATAATATATAATTGCAACGGTCATTTTCCGTATGCAATAGTCCTTCCGATCTCCGGTAACCTCATGTGCAAGTGAAGCTCATCACAACATCTATACTGCCACTCGCGGCCCAAACTGCTATCACGAGAGCGCAATGGTGTCCCCGCTCGCGGACCGTTGCTTCATCAGGTCTTCAGGGTTCAGTACCCCGAACTGGGGATGATACACAACCAGGGAGGGTTAGGCCTTCCAACTTGTACTTCCTACTCGGTAGTAAGCGGCTGGGCCCGTCGTAGGGAGCGTAGCATGCACTAGTTCCGGAGTGCGGTTGCGCGCACCTCTTCTGCTACGTAACAAATCACCTTCTTGTGAGCGATGAGTTCACATGGGTGCGTCTAGACTTATCAAACTCATCCGTGGATGATGGAGGTGGCCCTGCTGGGCTGGCTCACGTGATACTACTGCAGCCGCGCTAGCGTCGTGAACAGGACCAATGGACACTGCCGTCCTCCGATCTTCCAACAGATCCATACCGCTTCCACGACATACCCAGCCTAGCTGGTCTGCATCGCTGTCTATGTTCGGTTCCTGTTTCCTCTGCATCGAGATCCCTGTGCCGTCGGGACGTTCTAACGGCTTTCTGCATCAGTCGCGTCGTCCTACTGCGGTTGCTTGTGAAACGCAGCACCCTGAGCGTGAGTCTGGTTCCTGCATCTGTGCATCTAGCTAGTGATGGAACCCTCCATCTGCCGGCCATACGAATAACATAGTCCGATCCCTGATGTCGAGTCATCCATGGTCCATTTGTCGCGTTCCCCGAGCAGGCTCTTGTATTGTACCCTGGTACATGCGGCTGGCTGAACCCGAAAACGTCAGGGACTGTGCCCAGACTCGAGGCCGGTATCGCAGTCCGATCGCGTCCGACATTTTGGAGAGACAGTAGGATTCGCATATGGCTCATGCATCGAGCCAGATGAAGATGGCTAAAGACCGATTGTTCAGACATATTGCCGACCGCACATAGTCCCGGAGGTCATGCATCCCTCCAAAAGTGCACGCAACCTTATGATTGGCAAACGACATCATAAGGAATTACTAAGGCGGTGTGGCACTGCAAACCTTTGTATTACCCACTGGATGCCCGGGAATACGAGGTCGGTCGAGCGTTGCGACACTGGGTACGCTTCTTCAGTGTCGAGTTACTCCAGTCCATTGGCTCGCAACAACACCATGCCTAGAGAAGTGGCTGTATCAATTCATTCAGTCTCAACAACAGTAGGCTGGGTCACTTCGTCATTCGCGAATTTCTTCCTTCGCCTTCTGTACTACTAGCGGTGATCGCTGCGCTGCAGTGTCATGTTGCTATCCGTCCGTTGTCTACCCTCCCGTGATTCCTTTCTTGGCTTAGATTCAAGATATCAGCGGATTGTTGCACTGGCAATCTAAATGCATACACCAGCTACCTCGTATGCGGGCTGCTATACATCGACCGAAGCCATTATGGCCTATCGAAGCGGGGCATGTCTTTCTCAGAGGCAGCCGCTACTCCCAACTTCCGCAGTCAAGAGATGGAGCCCAACATTTTCAGCAGCAAGCGCATAGAAGTCATGGGTTTCAAACTAGCCGTCTTCATCGTAGACATTATCATGGTTCGAAGAATCGGATACCATCGATACAAGCATGATGCCGTGCTGCATGCCCTTAGTGGAGCTAACCGAGTATTTCACTGCGGCCGTACGGCTGTAGCAGTATCGTGTCATGATATTGTCGCGGTGGAACGTAGATCATCACATATAAGGTCATTGTCTCCAGTCAATCGAGGCTCAAGCCGTCCAGCTGTAGTTGTCTGTTCGACACATCCTCTCGTTATTTCCCCTCAACACTCGTTTCTTCCTTCACCTCTTGGAACAGGTGTGTCTTGCGACTCACATAACAACCATGAAGCTCAGTACCTTCACTCCGTTCGCGGCTTTCCTGACGCTCACTGCAGCTGAGCGGGTGCCATGTAAGTCTCTCCATAGGATCTGCTGTTGGATCTACACACTCCCTCGTCAACGTACCAAGCATCACGCTCTCTAAAATATAGGCACGTGAGTTAATATTCTGGAATAGTAAACTTCCCACAGCATGTACGGCCTCGGCAGTATGCACCGCCACCGCCATACTCTCCTCCTTACCCAAGTTCAAGCAGCACTGGCGGAAGTGCGTCGTCCACCTTCTCCAGCGGCACCGGCGTCTCGCTGTCTACTTGGACGCCTCCCGTTCCAACGTCTTCGTCAACTGCAAACTCTACAACGCCAGGGCCCTCTACAGTCGTCTACACTAGTGTCGTGGTTATCACATCGGTTATTGTCCCCTCGACATCGTGAGTCATGATCGATCCTGGTGATATTTGCTCGTTCAACTAATCCATTGCTCAGTGAAACTGTCTCTGGAGATACGTCGACCGAAGCTACAGCGAGCAGCTGGGGCAGCAGCTCTTCTTCCATAAGCATCCCTCTTTCGACTGGACCTCAGTCTTCCGGAACAGGGTACTACCCAACTTTGCCGCCACATGAGTCTTCCGCACCTTATGGCAACAGTACAGGTACAGCTTCATCTACTTGGGGTACGGGTACCGCGCCAGGATCTTCAATGCCATCTTTGACCTCCACTGCCAGTAGCAACTCCACTGGACCCAGAAGCTCATACATTCCACGCCCGTCGACAACTACAGAAAGCCCGAGCACCAATGTAACTGTCATTACGTCCGTCATCACCTCCACCATTGCCATCACCACATCCGTTCCATACCCTTCCAATGGTACGATCACGGAGACGAACACTGGGCCCACGGCAACATCCAGTGGAAACGGAACTATTTCTCAGACTCCGTCGTCGTCTGGCTACTACGGTCCACCTGGTAACGCCACCAGCAGCGGTAGTCCCTCTGAAACCGATACTGTGTCTTCATCGTCGATCGACATCTCCACAATCTCCTGGATCACCTATACTTCCGAAGTTTCTTATAGCCAGTCGGAGACTCCGACGCCAACCACTGATTATTACACGTCATCTTCAACCTCGACTTCAACGTGGTCTAGGAAATCCAGAGTTTCCCGGAGTCGTTCTTCCACACGTACCTGGTCTAGAACACTCACCATGTCCAGATCTTCGACCACGGACGGCTCCTCATATACACCCACTAGTTCAGAAGAGTCGTCGTCAGCTACTGAAACTGAAACCTCTTCAGATTCTTCTTCGTTGGCCTCATACACACCTTCGTACACGGCATCTTCTACATACGATACCAGCAGTGTGCCTAGTGCTTCAGAGACTGATTCTGCAACATCCTCGTTGCCGTACTCGTTCAGTATCTCTTTCAGCTCAATTGAGACGACTTCAGACTCTTCCACACCCACGTCGTCTGGAGTCATAACTTTGCCTACGCCCTCGCCAACTACGGAGAGCTATTCGTACTGGTCATCCTCATTCAGCGAATCCTCTACGGACTCTGAGCTTGTTTCGTACACTGAGTCGGTAACTTCAGGCACTAGCAGCTTCGTCTTGCCTTCCGAGACGCCATCGGAGTCGTTGACCAGTGATTCTGGTACTATCGAGACGCCCGTCCCGACAGTAACACCCTCTGACACATCCTCTTCCGACTCTCCTGTCACGTCTGTTAGCTCGACCAGCTCTGAGACCCCCGAAGTACCCAGCTCATCCTTGTACAGCGAAACGGAGTACACCACCTTCCCCTCTTCCTCCACCGCCTCAGCATCTTCCAGTAGCGAGTCCAGCTCTGAGGTCGAGACTTCCTCTATCCTTACAGCTTCTGAGAGCTCTCTAAGCTCAACCTACACCGACGCCACCGCTACTTCATTCCCTGTCGAGTCTTCGACCGCTTACCCCAGCAGCTCCACCTCGGGCTATTCCTACTGGACCCCTCCTGTCAGCTCGGTAACCAACACGGACGCTACCGCCTCCTCCTGGCCTGTGGATTCTAGTACCTACCTCACCAGCGCGACGGGCAGTCTCACACTCACGACCTTTGAGACGAGTGCCAGCTCCACCAAGAGTGGGTACGCGATGCCGCCTGAGGTGACATACGAGGCGCAGAATGACAAAGTGAAGCGAGGCATGGTGAGTTTTCCATTGCTGCCTGATGTCCAAAAGAATGAGTACTAACTCTTGGTAGATGGGCATGTGGTTCATGTAATCTATACTGCACGACACTCACGCGGTTGGGCGATGTAAGCCCGTTGTGAGGCCGATTGGTGAAGCTACGACATGTCATTGCGTCTTTACCAAACAAACCACATTCACATTCTCTACTGTCCTTTACTGGTGTAGACATACCTTTTCCTTGTTGTTAATTCTCTTCACTTCTCTCCCTCCCCACCCTCCCGCTGTGTCAATGATGTCTGGGCTGGGTATTTAATCATCATGGCTGCAAGATCTTGGGCCATAGTTCAATACAACATGTGTTTCTTTAGACGTACTTCGCCTCCAATTGACGTGATGAATATCTGACATCGGCGATCATGATGTATTGTGATACAAATCGAATGAGCCTCCAGAATACTGCGCAATGATTTCGATATCTCCCGTGTCTCCAAGAGCTCAACGGGCGAGCTTTGCCTCCAATGCACCACATTGCTAACCTCGTGCCGAAGATGAGCACCCAGTGTTGTATAACGTCTTGCTAGGAGTTGTATCTTGGATATGCGCTGAGGTTGTCAAGGCGGTGGTACATGGGCCGTGGCATGTTGTGTGTAGACGAGAGTCGTTATCGAAAAGCAATCGAGCCGAAAGATGAGGAAGGCAGCGGAATAGTGAAGCGCGGTACAGGTATCGAGACCAACGTTGGCGAGGACAGTCCTTCACCCAGCAGCGTCAGCAACGTAACCTCAACTGAACAAACATACGTATCACCATCCATGAGAGCCACATTGTCCTCATTGAAACATTATTTCATTCATTCTGCCGTGACGATTAGGCGTCTTCTTACTCGGTGCAGCTATAGCAACGAAGCATGCCTCCTCGAAGTCATTATGTGTCGTCCCTGATGTCCGTCGACGTCTTTACATCTTGCTCTTAGCCTCGCCCTTGAGCTCTTGGGTCTTGCCCTTGGCCTCGCCCTTAAGCTCTTGAGCCTTGCCCTTAGCCTCGCCGGCCATCTCCTTTGCCTGGCCCTTGGCCTCGCCGGTGGTGTCGGGGGTGGCTTCCTTAACGGCGCCAGCGACTTCCTCTGTTCAAAAGGTATTAGCGTTTGTTTTCTCATGGTGCTAGCGTAGCTGGTGTGCGCACTGTACGATGTCGTCATATTCTCGGCTGTTGAGAACAGAGAGCATCAGGCAGTGTAATGCAGGTAGGGTGTGTAGGGGATGGGTAATGTACGTACCTCCCTTCTCAATGCCCTTTACAGCGGCACCGGAGATTGTCCTGTCGACAGCCTTGGCAGCGTCCTTGATAGCTTCTACGGGGCTCTTGCGCGCGACGGGTGTGGTGCTGAAGAGGCGGGCCTGGCGGGCGATCTGTTGGCGGAACATGTTGATGGTGTTGTGTGTTGTGTTGGTGTTTCGAGGTGAAGTTGTTGGTAGAGGGGAGAGAGGTGGCAATTGAGTTGTTCGATGGGTTGTTAGATGAGGTTCCTTTGAGTGTGTGCGGAAGACAGCTTTAAAGGATGTGTGGACGTGGACTGAGCTGCTGTGCTATGACGTAGTTATGATCAGCCAATCGCGGATGTGGGTCCGCGTGTTGCCATGCATGCGCGAGGAACGTCGCGTTTACGGAATTCGCATGCCGGGGCATCACAAATTTTTACATGTGCATTATGCTATTGTGCGCGATCTTGATTCATTACGATTACTGTTGTCGTACTAATTGGTATTGTACTGCATGAGCTCAGGCTTAGTACAGCGCCTTCTGCCACCATGCACACCTAGCGTTCGCGTTGCTGTCGCGTACATCCTCGATGCCGGTAACGTTAAGCTCCAATACGGTCGCATCCGGACCGTACATGTTGAACTGCTTCACGCCTGTAGCATCCGGCACACCATTCTCAGCGAAGCTGGTGATGAACTCCTGCAGAGCGATGGCAATGGTGGTGTTGGCAACACCTTGGAGCCCGGTGGAACCTGCACCGCCCTCAAAGTACGTGTACGGGATATCCTGACCATGAATAGCCGGGGGAACTGCGAAGAGATAGGAGTATGTCTTGTTTCCGTAAGCCCTGGAGAGGTAGTTGGTGTTGCACGTGAAGACTCCCTCGCTGACAATGAGGCTACCGCGCTCGAAGTTGTTGGTGTATGGTAGAGACCCGTCGAACACCGGGGGGTAGAGAGTCTTGGTAACATAATCGAGGGAAGACTTTGGGGCGTTGGCGAATGCGGACGAGATTTGGTCTTCCAATGCAGCCTCGTTTGGAATGAAGAAGGGCGTGAAGAGGGCTCCTTCATTCGCATTGTGGCCGACCATTACGCGCACGTCCTTGTCAAATCGACCTTGTGCCAAAAGCTGAGCTGGCTGAAGAGGAGCGAAAAGACCATCCACGACCGGCCCGTAAGTGAATGTACCGTATGGGGAATCATAGGTGATCTGCTGAGCATTCGCAAGCATTACCTCTTCAGATGAAAGAGCCCGCAACTCTGCGAGGGAAGTGGTATTGGTAAGAGTGAGGAACCTCTGGTAGACATCTTCCTGAGTGACAACAGAAGTTGTAGGTTGCCATCCAGGGCTCTGGGGTACGGCTTGCTGAAAAGGAGCAGATCCATTAGCACCACCGTATGCAGTAATCTGATGCATGATCGAGCCACCTCCAGCGCTCTCACCAAATACAGTGACCTGTAGACACAAATCAGCACAAATCATACATGCATGGACCAGTTCTGACTTACTCGGTTCTTATCACCTCCAAAGAGATGAATATTCTCCTGGACCCACTCAAGCGCAAATCGCTGATCGTACAAGCCTAGGTTGGATACACCTCCTTCTGCTTGGTATGAAGGGCCACCCGTCCAGCCCAAAGCACCAAGGCGATAATTCATCGCAACGTAGATAACATCGCCATTGGACGAGTTGCCGGAGGCCGCGAGCAGACCCGCAGGGTTGTTGTTTTTCTCGCCTCCTGTGTAGCCACCTCCGTAGATCCATACGAGAACAGGAGCCCCGTAGCCTTGCCCAGCTTTGCTAAGCACATCCTCGGGAACAAAAACATCCAAAAATAAGCAATCTTCAGACTCGCGGGGATCCGGTTGTGGGACCGGACTGGTAGCATTTGCTGGCATCACTGAATAAGTTGTGTTCGAAGCAGGAAGACCGAGCGCATATCTGGCCAACGACTGTGCTGCGGCTGCAGACCAAGCGGGATTTGCCTGAGGGCATATTCTGTAGATGTTAGTATGATTGTTTGAACTTCGGTTTCCTGTGGCGCTTACCTCGAAGTCTCGCCGGTGTTGATAGATGACCTGTTTTCTGCTGGAGCCTGAGGTGGAGCAAACCTCAAGTCACCGACAGGCGGTGCAGCATACCGTATGTTGGAAAAGTTGTAGAAGTTGCCGGTGTCCTAATTGGGTCAATCAACAAAGTGACATCGAGGATTTGATGATGGTATACAAACATTGAACCCTGAAGCCTGGTAAATCTCGTAGCCCAGGTCGACTGTAGGTAATGAGGAGTTCTGTGCATATGCAGCACCTATTAAGGCTGCTGCTGCAGCAAGTTGCAACATGTCGGCGGACGGGATGAAAGTATGAATAGAGAAGTAACGACGAGGGCTACCCAGGTGTATATTCCAATTGCTCGGGACTCACGACGGTAGAGGAGATACAGCCGCGTACAAACGTGCAAGGAAGGCCCATCCATCGGGCACGGGTAGAGCATCCATATATACTCCTGTCATTTGCCCTAGTCCAGCCCGGCCAGCATCTCGTAATGCTGTCGCGATCACGCATAAGCCGCAGACACGTCCCGCCTCAGCCTAACGCAAACGACTCCACGTACACCGCGTAGTAATCGTCAACGGAGTCAAGCTCGCCTGCCGTGCCGGTGGCTTCGCCAGGCAATACATAAGTGCGTCATCGCGGTGGAACATTCGGCGACTAGCGGTGTCACTGATTCGCTCGCTGAGGCCTGGCGCGAGATACGGTCGATACGTGGCTAGCTGTGGCACAGCTGCTAGAACTCATCCACGTGCCTGAGGTTCTGGGAATCTCGCGGATCTTGTATGTACACAGATGTAGACATTTTTGACGTCTGACAGGTAGAATTAAACTTTTTGAAACGTCGTTCGGTGTCCCGGTGAGATGGGAGCGGGAATGTCATCTCGGCTGTAACTGGCAAGACGGTCCGACGAGGATATTCCCCGCAAAAAGGAAGCAATGCTGGCAGGGTATCTTGCCGAGGCATCTCGACTGGCTATGCGATGCCTTCCGATGGCCTGGTAAGGCTGATGTGAAAGAATGCGCGCAGTCCGCGGGGTACGTACCAAGATGGCGTACGGACGAAATTCTAGCCGTCGTAGGTTCTCTAGCCGCAATAGAGATCCATCAAGTATCCACCGTATCGCTTCGTCGCTAGGGGTACCATCGTTTTGTTCACGATTCAACGTGATCGCATGCAGAGGTAGTCGCGATTCGTACGTGTTCCCTGAATGTAGGGGTTCAGCCTTCCTCGAGTCCACCTAGCGCCACGGGATACCCATGCAGCCATAGGTGCATCAAATACTGGTGTAGGTGAGCTGTTGTTCGATATTGCATGCCAATAAGCGTAGCACCGAGACGACAACAGTTTTCGCCACGGCCATCCGTAGATACTAGTGCATAAAATTAGGAAGGTGAGCTGAGATGACGCCCAGCGCTCGAGATGTGAGCAGGTGGTGGTCAGTGCACCGGCGGCCCCAGGGCTCTGGTGCTGGCTTGCGCTCAGCTAGCACCCAGGCTATCTTCAGTTCCTTATTACTCACACGACAGCCTACCTAGGTATATAGCCGTTGGCCTTGAGCTGCTGATGATGTCTCGAAAGTGGACGGTGTCGCTGATGAGGTCCTGGTCGACTGACGTCCGTTTCATGCAACGACCACGCGGTCGAAGAGCCCAGAATTGCATCTTAGATACTGTTACACTATCAGATTCTGGGTAGCGAAGCCTTTCGAATGTACCCGAAGATTTCAGTTGGGAAAGATAACTGAATGACTGAGATTATGTTGTCGTTCATGTTGTTGTCGTGAAGATGCTTTCCAGTTCCTGCTCAAAGTATGTCACCGATTAGTCATTCTCTCACTCTCGGACTGCTATTACGAGCCCATAGAGTGTGTATCGCCATGTTATACATGGCAAACAACGAACCATATTGCAATCTCGACACCTGAGAAGGTTTCCGACCCGCATTGGCCGCCTATAAAACATCCGATCCAACCACCACGGCGAGCATTCATGCAACGTTTCGAACATCACCTTCTACCAGCCAATTTCAGTCGCTCCCCGAGCTACTTCACCATCCACCGTGGCGACTCGAACAGATAATCGGTGACGTAATCGTATGCGGAGAACCACTCACAGGCTGGGAGCGTAATCCGGTTCACAGTGCGAGTAAACATCCAAAAGAACTCGATGCGACAACATGGAAGAGGCGTTGTCAACAGAGTGGGTGCGGGATCATGTGTGGGCGGCGTTGCGGCATTCGCTCAATCTCGGGATAGTACAATATAAGCCGCGCAAAGGAATGCTACTCCTGTCTTATCCTCACTCTAGTAAGCAAGTATCTTGGTGAAAGTGAAAGAAAGGTTCTCGCCATATTTGGGGTTTCCACGTAACTCGCGATGCGCGTGATGGATCAAACACCCAGATGCACCTGCCTTTTCCTGAACCTTCCGCGTTCCGACGTACACGCAAACCTCTGCTGCAATTAGCTCTTATCAGCTCTCCCTACCCCGTTAGCTGACGACGTTCTTGATTACTCACAGTCAGCTACACGTTCCAAAAAAACATGAACTCCGAACCTCACCCTCATCAAGACGTGAAGGTGAGTAAGTTTCTAAGGCTTCAGGAACCATCAAATAACAGAAATGAGCGTCGTATGAGTAGGCGCGACATCCCCGAAATGCCCAGGGGCTATAATCCTCAATACACCTTCGACTTCAACAATATCAACAAGCGTATTCTTTCCAACGCACGTGCATATTACGCGCATCGCTTCCCTGAAGCGCAACGCTACGACTTCATCACCTCATCCATCCCGCCGACCGACAGCCGAGAGAGCAAAGAGTACAGGGGCGGGCTGATTGTATATCCCGATCCGAAGTCAAACGACTGGGTAATGCTGTATAAGAGCCACTCCTGGCCAGCCGTAGAAGATACAGCGTTCGAGATCAAGTCCTGGCTTGAAGAGAAAATGAGGGCTGTGTTTGACAAGATGAACGAAGGCGAGAAGTGGGCCGGAACAAAGAAGAAGTCTAAGGACGAACTGTCAGGCAATGAGAGAAAGTCTACTGCAGGCGAGGACCAGATGGAGGATGTGGAAACTGCGGAGGACAGCTCTAAGTCGACAGATACTGCTGCTGGCGATATCGGCGACAACCCTGAAATTGGCGTCAAAGACAAAGATAAAGAGGTCCTGAAGCAGCCAGAGGAATCTACTTCTGGTAATCCGGTAGAGGCTGCGAGCAACGCTGTCATGCCGTTTCGCAAACGCAAGTCAGCCGCCGAGGAGGAAGAGGAGCGCAAGAAGAGCGTGAAAAACAATGACGAGGAGCGTGTCTTTGTTGGAGAGAAGAATGACCCGCCTGCCCAAGAAAAGAAGGGTACCGTTGTCGAGCCCATCGTGGATCCGATTCAGGTAAAGCTTCCGCCGACTGAGAAGTAGTCCCAGGTACTTCATCACCTTGGGTAATACGGGTAGACGTAGCCGAGTGTGTTCGTCGGGTACTCTTGGATTGTCGCGCTGAGCGGTCTGTGGGAGCACGTGTGTCTAGATAGAGAATGTCCATCCTCCAGTCTCGCATACCCACTTTGTTCATCTCTTTACAACTTCGCCTTCAAGACCTTGCCACTTTTGCCACTCCCACCCTGCTCACTAAACCGATAAACAATATCCTCAAACCCATCTGCGGCGAATACATACAACCAAACCAGGTCCTCTTTTCCCGCGTTGTAAATACCATGCTCCGCATCCCCCGGTATAAATACCACCGACCCCTTCTCAACCTCATACTCCTGCCCCTCAATACATACCATCCCAGTACCAGACACAACGTGATATATCTCTGCGTGCATATGGCGATGCAATTTCAGAAACCCCACGTCGCCCAAAGACTCCGGATTCTGCAGAGATGGATTTGGAATCCCAGAATCGCTCGTAGAAGAAGACGCGGGACAAGCCACGACCCTTCCAGGCGGACATGTCGCGACGCCCACCGTGAACGTATCCGTCTCAGTCTTCTCATCCGAAACCAGCGTTTTCCACGTCACATTGCCTCCTGTGCTGGGATCGGGGAAGCCTTCGGGTGCCATTTTGGCTATTTGTGCGGCATGCAGGACTAGAGGTTTGACAGGTCGCTTCGAGGCTGTGGAACGCATGGTGGTTTATGTTGTGTGACTGTTGATGAAGTGCGACTTTTGCTTTGGCAGGGGAGGTGCTATCCGGGGAGAGCGGTAGACTGCACGCGCGGCGCGGATGCATGCAAGGTACGTTTGGACGATGGGAGTCGGAGATGGGCGTACGACATTGCGGATGTGCGGGTTGAAGGGGGTATACATATGCATATGCATGTACTGTCGCTTCGTAACCTCTCGCGACTTGCATCATCAGAGAAAGGCATTTCTTGCTGCTACGTCTTCTTGACATAGGTCATGTGGGGTTAGAGGGGTAGCTTGGGAGCCACACTCGGGATTGAAGTTCTAAGTCTTGCCTAGTTCGCGTCGTCAAGGGCGTATGAGAAGTTCGATCGTTTCGTGCCCGCTTCGGGCTGTCGTGATAGTTTGGCGACGGCCCGGCGGCTGCTGTTGTGCTACCGCATTTTCTGCTGTCAGGCCACATGGCATCTGTCGTAGCGACCGCCGTTGAGCCTGACTCCCCTTCGACGCATGCAGAGCGTTTCGGGATATGTTGGGGTTTGATAGACTTTATTGAAGGAACATCGGGTTGCGGGTTGTCGACACGAATACCTACCTAGAAAAGTATTGATCAACGCAAACTAGGGACGCGGAAAGTCACCGCTGGAGCAGAACTAGAGTCTGGATCAGATTTCCTGCGTTGGTACTATCCGAGCTGGCATATCTGTATGGTGATATACTGCTGTTGAGTGTAGGTCACATCGTTGATGAAGTGGGGTATGAGAGTGACATCCTACCGTACCCAGGTGCTATCGTATTCGGCCTACTACATCTCCAGATCAGATCGCTGACACCAATGTACACCCACTGTATAGCCTCATAACTTTTATGAGGATGGTCATGGCTATCGTGAGATAAAAGGCCGCCGTGATCTCGCTGCTTACGGCCGTTATTACGATTTGCCTACATCGGCTGCCATGTAGGGTTCAGGCGGAGACGCAGCTAGTCGTTGATGCCCGAGGCAGCCAAAGTCATCCGACTATGCAACATGGTTCGCATAGCTGTCACTGTGTCAACTCGTCGATGTCGCAGGGTTCGCCTGGCGTTCTGATGGGCGCTGTGCACGGTTGCTGTCCACGTTGATGCGGTCTGTCGCGAATGCACACTGACGGCATGGCGCAGACTATATCGTAGACTACTTATCCATAGCGGCAACACAAGCGCTACGACATTGAATATCGCGCAGTGGTTGCACGATCGAATCTTGAATATACACCCACAAACCGTGATCGTGGTTGCGAGTCAAGCAACTGTCATCATGGCTAGCCTGCGAGTCGCCCTTCTAGAATCAGCCCTTTCTGACTGGCTTCTTTATCAGCGGTCCGGCAAATCCGCCGCGTTTCAGAGTTTATCCCTCGTGGCCATGTGGCTTGGACCGGGCCTCGTACCATGCCTGTCGTGTTTACCGATGCCCGAACGCTGGGAAAGCTAAGGCCAATCTGTTCTGCATCTCATCATGCGCATGGCCGTCCAGTTTCGCTCCTGACAACTCCACCTCCCTACCCAACGTCTCTCGCCTACACTTTTTGTGCTACCAAAGGATGCTGCAGTCTTTATTGCGATAATGAGGTTTCAGACGTTGACGTAACGCAACGAAAACGCGCGCTGAGCGCTGCCGCTTCCACGAGGCTGTGTTTAGCCTGGATTGGCCGATCGCGATATGGCCATGGAGAAGTTTCAGAGAGGCCACCCAGCGCCCGAGCGGGTGAGGAACCGATCGGGATCTGGGACTGTGACGGGGGACAAGGCGATCGCGAAGAAGAGATCGAGTTTGGGCAGGGCGGCAGGTGGCTTTCAGAGTAGATTTCTTGCGTCGCTACGGAGTAAGAGGAAGAGTGGTGCAGACGAGGAGCTAGAGCCGAGCCCCTCGAGGTACGTACCGTGTCCACTTCACACACTGGGGAACACCACTGATCATCGCAACACAGCCCGTTTCTAGATGCATTGTTTCGGTTGCCAGATGAACTCCACATTTACATGCTGCGCGAGCTGTGCGTCTCGGACCTGCTTGCTTTGAGGAGAACGTCCCGCGTGCTCAACATGCTTGTGACAGAGAACGCACCTGCGATTGTGCGCTACTGGGTGAAGAACCGGCTCGGCAATCTTCATCTACAACTTTATCCGGCTCCAAGACCGGACGCGATCGACTTCCCGTTCTTACTCACTATGAGACGGCGACACATAGCGTCCATCAGGTTGACACGTCAGCTTGCCAATCACCTTGTAGGGGAGCCAACCGAACATAGGCAGCTGTGGACATCGGTGTACGAAAGGATGCTGCCCCTGGTCTTTGGGGTAGGCTACTTTCTAGATGAACATCGACGACTACTTCTGGAAAGAGATCTCGGCCACATTCGACCACGCTCCCGTATTGGCTATCACGTCCGTACGACGGGTGGTATCAGTAGCCAAGAAAGGAAGATCTTGAAGAACCTGGATGCACCACTTCGACTTCAGTACTTCTACATGTACTGTTTCATTGTGCAGGTGCTGCTTCGAAAGCTGAGACCTTGCAGTCGTGCTGGAGCAGTGGAAAAGTTCCTGCGGGGATTTTCAAACCAGCCAGCCTGTTCAGAGGATGTGGCCTTCTTCCTCATACTTGGTGGCATTGGGCAAGTTGCGAAGCTCCTCGCTTGCCCGGTATATAGCGAGCGGCGAAGATATCTCCTAACGTATAGAGCTCACATGTCGCCGCATACGAGTAAATGCTGGAGAAAGCACTGGAAGGATGCTGGTGTGGTTTCACCTGCGTTACTAGACGATATTCCTTGTACACAGATTGGCATAACGCAGCTTGATCAGGTCTGGGCTCCACTGATAGCCCAGATGATGGAGACGGGGGCGAGAGACTTTACAGAACAGGAAAGGATACGCTACGAGGAGCTGAAGATGTCGAAGAAGTTCATCAACGAAGTAATGGGGTATGACATCCTGCGAGGTCGGGCAGCTGACGGAGGAGAGTTGGATGATGAGCACGAGCCATGATAGCGAGTTAGCATGTACAGTACCAAGAGAAGACATTGTAGCGGCCAAACTCTGCACCTTCCTCTGTAAGAATTGACATATGTCGGTTGCCGTGCAATTTCCGCTTTGCAGCGGTTGTTGAGGCTTGTACCTGCTGGCTTGGCTTAGTTTCTGCTTCACGATGCCACCAACGGCGACGAGCCCGCAAATATTACGTACTGGTCCGGTCGCGTAGCGCGCTATGATTTCTAGCTGATCATGAAGGCCGACGGCAACTACGGACCCTGCAGCTGTCACCTAGCCGAGCGAGCAGGTGTTGCATGCGGCCAGTTTCTGTATGTTCTAGCTAAAAGCTTGACATGGCGGTATATTGTGCTTGACCATAACAGGAGGGTGTTAAGCATACCCACTCTGCTCTGGACTCTGTACAGCTCAGCGCTCGGTCGAAGTGCATTCTGCCATATAGGATGCCTATTTGGGTCGGCAGAGGGCCGTCATCGGCAGACGTGTATATTGCAGTCCCCGGATTTTTTCCATTGCAATTTTCCAGCGTCCGGGTAAGTGGCGGTTAAGAGGGCCAGAATCAGACGACAGAGGCTCGAGACCCTGTAGTGGTTGGCGCAGAGGCCGAGCAGGCAGGTCGTCGTTGGAGAGGCCCACTTGGCAGCTTCCATGGCTTCCATAGGCGCCCGTGCGTGTCTTCTGGAAAGCGTCGAGCGCTCGTCTGGTCTGGCGTCGGCCGATTGAGAGGCGAGGCCAGGGCCAATGGGGTACTCGACGGACTTTGCCGCCCGCGTCAATAGAGAGGCGGACAATTATTCTGCAAGTATCGCTCCACCTCATCCCACCATTGACGGGGCCAGGAGGGCGCAGAGTCTGAGGCGGGCATGACAGAGGTACCGTACGTGTTTCAGGCGATGTGTGATTGGCGGGCGTCGATGGGAGCGCTGCGTCCGTGGCAGATTGGGAATGACGTGCAACGGGCAGCGACAAAAGCAACGCGACGCGCACAAGGTGAACGTTGGGGGCGCTGATCGGTAGTGGAAGAGGCAGTCGCATCCCCTCTGGATCGGGAAGTGGCGCATGGTTAAGCGTGCAGGCGCGACCGGAGGGCGATGCACGGGGCGCGGGCTGCGTCATTGGTGGCCGATGCAACTCGAGCGACGCTCTGCATGCATGGGCCGTCCGCTCGTGTGCCTGTAACACGGCGGCATCCTTCCATCACACACGGCGCACTCCCCCAGGCACGCCCGCTGGAAGCAGTGCTGGGTGCGCGCTGCCGTCGGCTGCCCCCAGGCCGTGTCACACAGGCGTGCAGGCCGTCTAACTGTCAAGTGTGTGCTGTAACGAGCCTGTGGCTGGGCGGCCAATGGCGCGCTGCTGATACTGACCGCAACAACAGGCCGCATTCACCCCGGCCGCAGTAGCGTCGGCTCTTGCAAAGATGCTCCGCTGCCCCCGTAATTGCTCCCAGGAATCCTCGCCATGATGTGAGCTAAATCCGCCAGGTCCTCGGCGCCGTGCGTGTCTCCAGGGCCTAAGTATGCCCCTTCGATGCCGTGCAGAGTGCCAGTCGAGTCCTAGCGCTGTGCTGTAAGCCCGTTCCATATAATCCTACGAGCCCGGCCCAACGTTTGCGACCAACACCACGATCCCCATCCGAGTGCCACTCCACCCGCGCCATCTTCACACGCGACCTCGCCACCCTTTGTCTTCTGAAACCTGTGCACCGGTGCCTGGCGATAGCTGCCTCCTGCCACTCACAGCCCATCCACCACCACACCAGAGCAGCCCGGTCCCGACGAGCGCGGCAACTACTCCCCTCTGGGCTATCGATTGTCAGCTGAGCCACGACCCCAACCCACCACCACCCAGAGCGACCACCATGAGACGGTAGAGATAAGACAGAGAGCAGGAACCATGGACTTTACGGTAAGTTCCCGCGCGCTTACACTCGTCGGCCATGTCACGAGCCCGGCTAACGCGACCTCAGATCTCCCTCGCACACTTCTGCGAGACCCACGGTCCGACATCCATCATCTGCACCCAGGCCTCGACCTCGCCCTGCGGCTCCTGCAACCCATGTGTGACGCCGCCTTCCGAAGAGCCGCATTCGGCCTACTCCTACAACGGCCTGTACGATCAGCCCACCACCCTCAAGCTTAACGCGCGCCTGCCACAGCTCACCTCGCCCTTCGAGTCGCCGCCCAACAGCCCGCGCTCCCCCACGCACAACCCATACTTTCCGAGCTTTCCCTCCTCTTCCGGCAGTAGTTTTGGCGGACGGAGAACCAGCAGCACCATCGACTCCGACTCGGACGCCTGCGAGAACTGCCAGATGGTAGTGCCCCAGAAGTACAGCGACAAGATCCCCAACGGCGCCCCTGGCAGTCCCACAAAAGACGGGCGAGGAAGAAACGGCAGCCCGGTCTTGCGTAGCTCCCAGAACTACCCAGTGCGACGACCAGTGTCCCGGGACGACCTCAGTAGCACGGATTCGTCCGATGTCTCAGACACAGAGCAGTCGACTTCGTACCAGAGCGGCGCCTCGGGCTCGTTCCCAGACTCAATACCTCCCTCACCAATGCTCGTGTCGAGAGGCATACACACCCACACATTGAACTACATCTCCACCAGTCAGCCGCAGTCGCCCAGCACCTACTCGCTCTTGCGACGCACCTGCATCCGTACATTGTCCACCGAGGTCCTTCCCCTCAGCAAGCCCTCGGGGCCCATCATGTTCGGAGACTCAGTCGCTGGCTACACCATCGCGTACGTGTTTCGTCTGCAGGATCCGCGTTCGCGAGGAGCTAAGCGCACCTACGCCTTCATTGCCATGGCCGGTCGCGATTACCGGAGAGCCACAAAGGCCATGGTGAAGATCATCGAAGCCTTTGAGGGCATCGCCAACCGGATCATCTCCCTGGCTGATAGAGTCCTCGAGCGTGAGAGTGCAGCTTCGCAGGTCCTCTCACGTCCCACCACCGCCATCTCTGGAAACACTCCTCCTCTTGGAACCTCCGCCTCTTCAATGCCACCCAACTTCTCTGCGCCGCACAAAGAACGGACCTTCTCCACGACGAGCACCCCCAACTTCCGCAACATCACACCTGTGTCCTCTTTCCTGTCCGCAAAGAAGGTCGACCCAGATGGCTTTCCCCGTGTGTCTCGCGATGTGATGAAGGCAAAGAGCCTCGTCGAGATCGTCGGTCAGGAGAACTTCTTTGTCGACCTCCACGGACTCTTCTGCCATCTTCTGCACTCCCTCATCAAGCAGTTCGGTTGATGCGTCCCTTCCACGTCGCTTTGCTTCGTTCATACGTCTTTTCCTTCCTTGTATGTCTTTTCTGTTGTCTTTTGTCGTGCGTTACAGCGTCTTCGTCCATTATACAGTGCGTTTAAGCACAGGCGTTGGGGCAGGTGTGATTGCTTTACAAGACCTTCGAGTCGTCAGAGCTCAAGTAGCTTTATACCCTTTTGAGATACCCCAGGCTTCTCTTTCTGTCGTTGGGATCGAGTAGTACACATTAGACGTGGACTCATCTTTACAATGGCGTTTCGGGGTGAGTAATCGGGGACGAGAGGAGGTGTTTACGATGGTACGGTCGTTGCTAGGATATGACCATGATGTTGATGGCGTGATGGCCGCGATGGATTAGGTGATGCCAGTCTAGCCTGTTTGTAGAACGAAACTGCACAATACCGTTTACCTATTGTTCTTTGACGTGTTTTGTTGTTTGCTAGTGTGGTACTGCTTCAAGTCAAAGAGAGAGTATGTGAATATACGTGACACCATCACGGTGCAAGTAAAGGTCAAAGGTAAAGGTGAGTTCCAAGCACGCGATCTGAACGCCTGACGTTTGGGAGAGAGTCACACCTAGGTAGCAGCTCATCACAAGAAATGCCCTCAAGGCAGACGCGTCCCAAAGCAGACGAGGCAGACGAGCAAACGTGGTGTGCGCTTTTCTGGTTAGCGCAGGCATGCATGAGGCTGAACACATGCATGTGGAAGCCGCGAGCGACAACATTGAATGCTCTCTACCATATCCACTCAGTCGCAATGACTATACCTATGTGGTATGCTTTAATGACAGTTGCAAAATTTCATCACTCTCATACGAGCATCGCGGCTTACTTGCCACGAGAAGAATTCCACGATAAATCGCTTATGCCTGCTCGCTCCACCACCGTCTCCGCATTATGCACGACACGCAAAACTGGTCCACATTTTGCGTTCCGCTTTCCGGTCCCAAGCTTGGAAAAAGATTATCCAGAAGCATCGAGATTCGCAGATCAAACTACCTAGTGATGCGTCATACCGGGTAAAATCCCCTTGGAAGTCAACGATGTGTGATGTCATAGGTGTGGTGGATCGTCAAACAGCGCTTGAACAACGCGCTTCCACGGCCAGTGATTAAATGGTAGCAGAAGCAACGTCTCCGCATCGTTTGATAGGACGCATTGTTATTCTTGATTAATTAAGGCTTTTATTTCCGCAGCCCACGCGGCAGCAGGGCCAAAGCCAAGTTTAAGTGCCCGAAAGCCAAGTTTTTGGAAGTTTGGCAACCCGTTTGGGATGCAGCATCGTTTGATAATGCTCGTTCAAGATGCTCAGTTGCTGATAGGGCAGATATGCAGATATGATGTGGCTTGTGGTTCTCCATGACGACTCCCATAATCATGCCCCGCGGCTTCCTCTGCGGATTCCGAGAACCTACTTAAGACTTGCCTACCTTCCAAGGTCGTGGCGTCGTCACCTTTACAAGCCTCAATACGCTACAGTAACCACTACAGTTCTTAACTCACTAAGTTTACGCCACGATCCGTACAAGCCGCAGTTGTGAGACTATCAATTTGGATCGCACCAGTCTCCCGCTTACACTCGTCATCTAGACATCTAGCCTTCCCGCACCTCACAAGGTTAAGACAAGATGAACTCCATCCCAGGAAATGCTTCCCAAGGACCCACCAGCCAGGACACATCGACGACGGGTGTTCAGCAGAACCAAGCGCAGCGCGAA